TTTTGTGGTTTTATGGCACTTTTTGAAGTATGGGAATCTGTCGGCCACGGCCAGACACAGCATGAAGTGTATTCCCAGTGCAGGACTCAGGGCGTGGGATTGGGGCTGGGACAAGCAAGAGAAACCCTGGAAGTCGTCAAGGCTGGGGGAGGCTTTCGCCTTGATCTCACCCCGGAGGACAGGGATCGTGCCAGCCCAAGGAAGCAGAGGTCAAATCGAGGCCCACAATTCTGTTTATCCAAAGCACAACAGCTGAGGTTCTCCAGCTACTGGGAAAATGCAGGTGATGAGGTCCTACAGGATCTGCTGGAGAACCATAGAATGGTTTGGGTTGGAAGTGATCTTAAAGATCATCCAGTTCCAACACCTCCTGCCCTGGGCAGGGACACCTCCCACCAGACCAGGTTGCTCCAAGCCCCCTCCAACCTGGCCTTGAACCCCTCCAGGGATGGGGCAGCCACAGCTTCTCGGGGCAACCTGGGCCAGGCTCTCACCACCCTCACACCAAACAAGTTCTACCTAATATCAAATCTCAATCTCCCCTCTTTCAGTGTCACAGAACCACAGAATCACAGAATCTTCTAGGTTGGAAGGGACCTTAAAGATCTTTCAGTGTCAAACCCTTCCTCCTCCACCTCCTAGGGCTCCTTTCCCTCATCAAGATTCCCTCCCCAGCTTTCCTGGAGCCCCTTGAGGGACTGGAAGGGGCTCCAAGGTCTCCCCGGAGCCTTCTCTTCTCCAGGCTGAACCCCCCCAACTCTCTCAGCCTGTCCTCCCAGCAGAGGGGCTCCAGCCCTCCCAGCATCTCTGTGGCCTCCTCTGGCCCCGCTCCTACAGGTCCATGTCCTTCTTGTGCTGAGGACTCCAAAACTGGTGCTGTAACGTTTACTGCTTCTTTGAAACCTCATGTCCATGAGGATTTATTTGCACCAACTCTACATCAGCCCTGTGATGCCCAAGTTGCAGGAACACTGCCGGAGACACTTCTGAGTGTCTCCCCACCCTGCTGCCTGGTGACCCACCAGCCACTTCACGCCGTGAAGCCCCGTCCACGCAGTGACCACAGACCTTCCCACAAACACCGTGGCTCCTCCTGCCATCAGGAAAGCTTGAGGCAGTGGAGAACCACTTGATTCAAAGGTACGTGGTGACTCAGTGGCAGAGCCCACAGCAGATTCATCACGCATCCCACATTTTATGAACTTGGCTCCAGCAGATCCAATTATTCTATTAGCCGAAATTAGGGAGAAAATCATTGTTAAATAGTTAATTCATCAAGACAGGCGCTGACTGAAGAGATTTCTGAACTTGGGGTGTGTTTGAAAAATGAGGACAAAAATGGGGGGAAACCAACTAAGCAGTTTGTTCCAATGTCTTTAATTTGGTTTCATTTTCTTTGTCTGAAAAAGGTATTTGAGGCTACATTAAGCTCTTTTTTCACTTGAGAAGAATAGTGAAACAGAACAAGAAACAAAATGTTTCCTTCAAATTAAGTGCTGCGGAATTCTCTTTTGGCTAGAAAATTGCCCCTTCTCACTTCATTTGTCCCAAACGAACAATGAATTTGATCTCCTGGAGTGACCCCTGGGACAAAAACTCCACAGCTCCCAAAGCTGTCCTTGTCCTTGTAATGTTGGAGAGGGTTTGTGCATCTTCTCCACCGTCAACAGAGCCCCATTTCTAGCAGGCAATTCTTCCCACCATGGGCATGTAGAAAACATCTGGTGTTTCATTTTGGAAGACATATGAGTTGTGTAAGATCCTGATGATCTACAGATACTTCCACCACCACTGAAGACACTTAAATTTACTGCACTGTGGTGTCTTCATCCATACCCAACATCTGATACCCACCTACCTCCCGCTGCTCATCGCTCATCAGACTCTTGCTCCAGACCAGTGAGTAGCCCCCAGTAGCCCCCACATTGGTTCAGCTCTCTGCATGCCCAGAGATGGTGCTGACCCAGCAGACCCAATTTTATGACCTTGGTGACCACATCGATGACTTTTCCAGACGCATGGATGCTGCACACATCAGTTTGCCTTTCTTTTGAGGTAATGAGGTTGGGTTAAGAGCTTTCCACCAACGTAGCAAGAGTAGACTGGAAACATGAACCACCAGCAGCTCTCAGGCACTGCTCTTTCAGCCTCTTCTCGCTGCTGCACCCACCCTTTTATCCTTCTCTCCACGTGAGATCCAAACCTGCTTCTTTGTAAGGTGCCTCCCATTTGCCTCCTCAATTCCCTATGGTGACCACCGAATGAATCAAACACAGGAGACTTTCCCAGCACCAAGACCAAGAAAAATTTCTTCCTGATATCTGATCTGAATCGACCTTCTTCCAGTGTGAAGCCACCAACCCTTTGTCCTATCACTACATGCCCTTGTAAAAATCAAACGTGGAACTGGGGCTTCGGAGGGTGTTCATGAATCAAGGTGAACAGGAGACACCAAATGTTCCGCGTTTTACTCTGCAAATCCCTCAACACAAGTGGGAAAACAGATTTCCATGCCTCTGCTGTGTCCCACAGGGATGTTGTGTCTCGGAAGAGGTGACAAGGATTTCTCCTAGAGCTGGACCATGAAGGGAGCGCTTGTTAGGTGGGTTACAGCTCACAGACACAGTGCCAAAGGAGGCTGCTGGGGCAGGACCCATATATGGGCTTGAACTGGGATTCTGGATCTGGAGATCTTCCAGCTGTCTCCACCTGGAAGCAGATTTGGCTTGTTCACAAATTTTACAACACACAAATTACAGTTTCTCTGCGATTTTCATGCCCAGCACAAAGCTTTGCCGTTGGAAGCTGCAGTCAACAATAACCACAGTGGGGGATTACCATGAACAGATACCTGTGGCCTTGGAAGTTTAGGATTTGAGTGTGTCCCTTTAAATAAACTGCAGCCCTTGTGACACGTCCTGAACTATTCAAAGCTCAGGAGCTGCCTTTCATTCTTTGCTGCTTCTTCTCTATGTTCGGGCAGCAAATGAGCTCGAGATAAATCCCAGCTGGATGGGGCTGAGCCAGATCCGTGTAGGAGAGGAGGAGGGTGGCTGCAATTCAATTCACATGTGTTTTTCTAACCACAGCATCCCCCCAGGTACCAAAACCAGGAGTGATCACAGGGAGATACAGGTCTTGTCCTCAAAGCCCACAGAGTCCAGAAGTGCAAATGGTTTTAAAGACTGAATCCAAGCTGTTTTTGCACGGTTGGTAAACATCCAGCATCCCCCTGAAGGTAATCAGGAGTGAAACAACAGCCCTCATTCATCTAATTCTCCTACCCCTCCTCTCCCACGCTTGCCCAACCACCTCTGCCCGACGCTGAACAAGAGACCTTGTGTGCAAAAACCAAATTCATCGACACCAATGCCTCCTCCAGTGTTGGAAACAGCCTGTCAAACCCCGGGTGCTATGCAAGAAATGTTTAATTTGCTGTGTGTTTGGGCCAAGAGCATGAAAGGTGCTGCCCCTCGGCAAAAACACTGCAAAAACACAAAGCCAGAGCCTGTTCCTGCCTGGGTTTTACGCCAGACTGACCAGAAGGTGGGTGAGAAGATGAGGATACAGAGGTATGCTCTATGGTTGTGAGGACCATGTAGCTGGCCTGGCCACGAGATCCATCTCTCTTGGAGGAGATTTGAGCTGGGGTAATCACAGGGGCTCAGCCTTGCTTAGGTAGAGGTGGCAAAGAGCAGCTTGACGTCCTGGGGAACCAGCCCTCCAGGCAGATCATCTGTCCAGGGAGCAAGAAGATGCTTCTGTGACTCCCTATAAAGTATTCAGCATCCTTTTGGAGAAGGGATGCCAGCCAAAACCAGTAAAACTGGTACAGGGCTCATGGGGCAGGATGCCCTGAGTCTGGTTCTGCCCCAGACTTGCTCTCCGTGCCTCAGTTTCCCCAACTCTTAAGCCAGGACAATCAGCCTTGCCCAATTTCAGACAATGTTTGGACACCTGCAGATGCAGATCTTCATATGTAATGAGTCAGATCTTCCTTTGTGTGACTCAGCTCGCAGATGTTGAGCCCATGGAACAGCTACGGGCTTCTCCTGCTCCAAGATTTGTATTTTCTATTCTTACTACAGCCACAGACATCTTTTGAGTGCCTCACAATTCCCACAACTAAATACTTCTGTGAGTTTCTAGACCCGTTTGGGAAGATCAGGGAAAAGACCTTACTAGATTAAACATTTCTGTTAGGAATACAGGGATCATCACAACATCTTCATCAGCGTGTTATGAACAAATATAAGCCCTGGTCTGTGCGATGGTGTAAGAGACAGAGAAAGGTCAGGGCATATTTATCTGCAGTGGCCAAACTGCTGCCAATGCCTGCAGTAGGCCCACTGATTTCATGGAATCATAGAATGGTTTGGGTTGGAAGGGACATTAAAGATGATCTAGTTTCAACCCCCTGCCCTGGGGATGGACACCTCCCACCAGACCACGTGGCTCCAAGCCCCCTCCAACCTGGCCTTGAACCCCTCCAGGGATGCAGAAGCCACAGCTTCTCTGGGCAACCTGGGCTAGGGTCCCACCACCCTCAGAAGAAAGAATTTCTTCCCCACATCTCATCTCAATCTCCCCTCTTTCAGTGTCAAACCCTTCCCCCTCCTCCTAGGGCTCCCCTCCCTCATCAAGAGTCCCTCCCCAGCTTTTCTGGAGCCCCTTGAGGGACTGGAAGGGGCTCCAAGGTCCCCTGGAGCCTTCTCTTCTCCAGGCTGAACACCCCCAACTCTCTCAGCCTGTCCTCCCAGCAGAGGAGCTCCAGTCCTCCCAGCATCTCCATGGTGGCCTCCTCTGGCCCTGCTCCAACAGGTCCATGATGTTGGTGGCCCCAGAGCTGGAGGCAGCACTGGGTGGGGGGTGTCTCCCCAGAGCGGAGCAGAGGGGCAGAATCCCCCCCCTCGCCCTGCTGGCCACGCTGCTGGGGATGCACAGGAACAGCCAAGAGGCATTTCCACTCCCTCCATCCCATCCCAGTTACCTGTCAAAGCCTTCAGGTTCTCGGTGGCCAGGACACCAGCTGAGCGTAACAAGACTCAGCACAGCCCTGTCCCTGCCAGACTTGCTGTGTCCAACAGCCAGAGGGAGATTTGCGAGGACAAAGCAAAGAAGAAACATTTTCCATGGCTGGATGTATATTTTTGTGCTTTCAGTGAAGGCTGGAGCAGTTGTGGTTAACTCTGAAACGGGAAATAGAGAAAAGTTCATTGGACGACGGACAACTTCCCTCCCCGCGAGTTATAAAAGAAGGAAAATGGAAATCTAACGGTGGCTTTTGCTTCTAAAATTAACATAATTCCCCCCGACGCACGAATGTGGCTCTGCAACACCAGCAGCAGAAAGCCCAGAGCTCTGGCAGGACAGGGATCTGATCCTGGAAAAGCCTTTAATTTGTGGATGCAGCCTGTTGAGATCTGGAGAGAAATTAAAGTAGCAGGCGTCGCTCCGCAAGAACGTATCGGGGTTGCATCATGTGGGTTCCTTGAATTTTCCAGAAATCCCGCCTGCCACCTCTTGCCTGCCAAGTTTTCACTGAAAATCTAGACAGTAGCTCGGAAATACGCGCTGCGATTCTCCGCTGGCATATTTGAAACAGGCAGGCAAAATTTAGGCTGGTTTTGGATGTGTGGGGACATAGAAAAGATGTCCCTTTTTTGCCAAGGATCCTGCAAACAGAACCGGGATGCTGGGATATAGGAAGCTTCAGCCGGAAAGAAATACATGGTTAAATGTATTAAACGTTCTGTGGGATGCTACGTATCTATCACGCGCTGCAAAATGACATCATAAATGGCATTAAAGTTGCAAAAAGCAGTAAAAAGCTTGGAAAGGCCAAATTAAGTTCAACTGGGTAACTTTCATAGAATCATTGGATGATCGAGGTTGGAAGGGACCTTTCAGATCATCAAGTCCAACCATCAACCCAACACTGACAAATCCACCACTGACCCATGTCCCTCAGCACCACATCTACCCATCTTTTAAATACCTCCAGAGATGGTGACTCCACCACTGCCCTGGGCAGCCTCTGCCAAGGGTTGATGGCCCTTTCCATGGAGAAATTTTTTCTAATATCCATCCTAAACCTCCCCTGGGGCAACTTGAGGCTGTTTCCTCTTGTCCCATCGCCTGTGACTTGGGAGAAGAGACCGACCCCCCCTGGCTACACCCTCCTTTCAGGGAGTTGGAGAGAGCCAGAAGGTCTCCCCTCAGCCTCCTTTTCTCCAGGCTCAACACCCCCAGCTCCCTCAGAAGTTCTCCAGACCCTTCTCCTTGTGCTCCAGACCCCTCACCAGCTCCATTGCCCTTCTCTAGACACACTCCAGCCCCTCAAGGTCCCTCCTGTTATGAGGGGCTCAAAACTGGACATAGCACCCAAGGTGTGGTCAACCACTTTTACAACACAGAGAGCAAAAGAAACCCTCAAATGTTATTTCTCTGTTCCCATCGGCGCTTCCTTGATCCTCCACCAGCCGGTCCCATTGCCTTGGAGACTGCTCTTTGACTTTTGCAGATCCATCCTAAACTGCCACAAGGGTTAAACTCCCCGACCAACATCATACCTATGTGAAAGGACCTGATCCATGTGCCATTCGCCTCCCATCTGGGGGTTTTGTGGCACCCCAAGCAAAAAAGCAGCAACTCAGATCTAGACAAACTGGTTTGGTCCCACCAGATCAGCACAAGAAGGTCACCAGGGTTGGGGCAATCAAGAGCTCGTGGTCCCTGGACCTTGAGAAGGATGAAGCCCCTTATCCCGTTATATCTCTCTGGGCAGCTTTTCTGTTATCTGTGTAAGACTGGAATGATGAGGAGAGGCTGAGGGAGCTGGGGTTATTCAGCCTGGAGAAGAGGAGGCTGAGGGGAGACCTTCTTGCTCTCTACAACTCCCTGAAAGGAGGGTGTAGAGAGGTGGGGGTCGGTCTCTTTTCTCAAGTCACAGGCGACAGGACAAGAGGAAATGGCCTCAAGTTGCGCCAGGGGAGGTTCAGGCTGGATATTGGGAAAAATTTTTTCACTGAAAGGGTTCTCAGCCATTGGAATGGGCTGCCCAGGGAGGTGGTTGAGGCACCATCCCTGGAGGTGTTCAAAAGACGGGTTGATGAAGTGCTGGGAGGTCTGGTTTAGTGATGATGCTCCTTGTTTGTTGTGTGGGTGTCTATTTTTGTCAGTTAGGTTGATGGTTGGACAAGATGATCTTTAAGGTCCCTTCCAACCTAGAAGATTCTGTGATTCTGTGAAAAGAAGAAGAGGCTTCCAAGCCCCTACTAAGCATCATTTTGCTTACACATCCACGGTACGTGGGCGATGAGAAATGAACATGCTGTTTGCTCTGGCTGGACCGCTGCCCGGTGCAGGGGGGGGATAGATGCCGAGCCCAGCACGTTCTTTCCTCAGATTCATCTTTCCCCTCCTCCTTTCCTACCTTAAAACTGCCACACCAAGTCCCCCAAGAAGTCCACAAGGCACCAAACCCACCAGCCCCAGCCCTGTCCTGCTTTCAGCTTCCCCCCACCCGCCCCAATCCCATCAGCATCACAGAAGTAGAGGAGTTTTGCAGCTGGGCTTGTTGGGGACCCCATTTCCAACATCCAAACCCACTTTGAGGGACACTGGTTAAGATGGGTGGTGGTGTGTCCACACACACGTGGGCATGGACACGCATGGACACGCGTGGACACGCATGGAGAGGCTGAACCCGCCCCGCTGCCCGCCCCAGCGCAGCTCTGTGCTGGAAGCTGAAGATTGGCTGGCGGAGGATCTCTCTCTCTCCAAGCAAGGGTCGATTTTGGGGGCGTTTCTCCTCCCTCAGCTGGCTCCAGAATAAATGGTTTCCTTTTACATCCCATTTCCTTAGAAGAGGCCTGAAACCTTGCTGCGCTGGGGGAAGGAGGGGGGCAGGCTGGATGTGGGTCTGTGCCTCCTCCACAGAAGTAGAGGAGTTTTGCAGCTGGGCTTGTTGGGGACCCCATTTCCAACATCCAAACCCACTTTGAGGGACACTGGTTAAGATGGGTGGTGGTGTGTCCACACACACGTGGGCATGGACACGCATGGACACGCGTGGACACGCATGGAGAGGCTGAACCCGCCCCGCTGCCCGCCCCAGCGCAGCTCTGTGCTGGAAGCTGAAGATTGGCTGGCGGAGGATCTCTCTCTCTCCAAGCAAGGGTCGATTTTGGGGGCGTTTCTCCTCCCTCAGCTGGCTCCAGAATAAATGGTTTCCTTTTACATCCCATTTCCTTAGAAGAGGCCTGAAACCTTGCTGCGCTGGGGGAAGGAGGGGGGCAGGCTGGATGTGGGTCTGTGCCTCCTCTCAGCTTTCTGACAGCTTCAACCAAACTTAAAGGAGAGGCAGAGAGCTCAAACCCTTTTTTTTTTTAAGTTCCTATATGCCTCTTGAAAACAGGCAGCCAGGAGGAGCTTTAATGTCACAGCGGATGGGAACTCAGCTTTTAACGAGACATCAGAGATTCCTCCGAGCAGCCCCTGCTCCGAGCAGCCCGACCTCCCCGTCCCTGGGGCTTTTCTGCTCATATTTTATAATAAAGGGTCAAAAGCTGGAAATGGCACGTTCCTCACTGCCTGCCCCGGGCTCCTCTCAGTGGGGAAACTGAGGCTACGGCGCCCCAAATCACTGCTCTCACCCTGCTTTTGGCAGCCTGCCCTTGGGATGGCCCTGGGCCCTTCCTGGGGCTGACGTGGCTGAAAAACTTTCTTTTTTTCTTTTTTCGGTTAAATTTTGGGTGGATCCAGACCATCCCAAGTTCACTGGGAGGCAAAAGGGAAGGGGGGAGAAGTACGTATCACCAGTCCGACCAGCTTGGAAAGGGAATCCCGGAGTCCTGAGTCCTGTTGGGTTGCCATGACCTCCAACCAGAGCTCCTTTATGAATCGGTCAGGTTGGAAGAGACCCTTGGGATCATCGAGTCCAACCATCAACCTAACTGACAAAAATAGACACCCACACAACAAACAAGGAGCATCATCACTAAACCAGACCTCCCAGCACTACATCAACCCGTCTTTTGAACGCCTCCAGGGATGGGGCCTCAACCGCCTCCCTGGGCAGCCCATTCCAATGGCTGATGACCCTTTCCGTGAAAAAATTTTTCCTAATATCCAGCCTGAACCTCCCCTGGCACAACTTGAGGCCATTTCCTCTTGTCCTGTCACCTGTGGCTTGAGAGAAGGGACCGACCCCCACCTCTCTCCACCCTCCTTTCAGGGAGTTGTAGAGAGCAAGAAGGTCTCCCCTCAGCCTCCTCTTCTCCAGGCTGAATAACCCCAGTTCCCTCAGCCTCTCCTCATGAGACTTATTCTCCAGACCCCTCAGTTATGAGCACGGAAAGATGGTGGGACCCGGTGGCCACACGGGACCTCCCAGTTTGCCACCCAGGGATGCCAAACTCTTGCCCTCAAGCTCCTCAATCCACACGGACCCCATCTCCTCCCCCCTGTAGCTCCCAGGAAGATATGGGATGCAGGGGTTTGCCATCTGACCTGCCGTCACCCGCGCTGGACCTCTGCCGAGGCCACGCAGATGCCATTCTTTCCACCCGAAAGCACCGGAGGAATTTCCCCCCCGCCTGGACATGTTGGCAAGGAGAAGCCTGTGGATTTTGAACTTTCCTCTGGGAGTATTAAACAGGGATTACAAACCGGGATCAAGGGAGTCTCGCTCCTGCGTGCCCTGTGGGAAAGCTGCAGCTGGGGCCTCGTGAACCTGTCGTTCTTTGTCTGTGCATCACAGCAGACTTGTGTGACACCAGGGATGGAGAATTCCCTCCTTTCCAGTGCAATCGGGATTTTATTTTCCTCTTCCTAGTTCTCCTCCATCACATCTGCTGAGGGAGCAAAAGCTGAGCAGTGCCTTGCAGAGGATGGGTGCATCCATGGGCTGAATTTGCACCTTTGGGGCATATAAAGGGGATGCTCTTAGGGGTGAGAGAACAGGTTGAGAGAGTTGGGGGAGTTCAGCCTGGAGAAAAGGAGGCTCCAGGGAGACCTTAGAGCCCCTTCCAGTCCATCAAGGGGCTCCAGGAAAGATGGGGAGGGACCCTTGATGAGGGAGGGAAGCCATAAGATGAGGGGAAACTGAGATGAGATCTCAGGCAGAACTTCTTTGGTGTGAGGGTGGTGAGAGCCTGGCCCAGGTTGCCCTGAGAAGCTGTGGTTGCCCCATCCCTGGAGGGGTTCAAGGCCAGGTTGGAGGGGGCTTGGAGCAACCTGCTCTGGTGGGAGGTGTCCCTGCCCAGGGCAGGGTGGTTGGAACTAGATGGTGGTGAGACACTGGAACAGGTTGCCCAGGGAAGTTGTGGATGCCCCATCCCTGGAAGTGTTCAAGGCCAGGCTGGATGGGGCCTTGAGCAACCTGCTCTAGTGGGAGGTGTCCCTGCCCATGGCAGGGGGGTTGGAACTCGATGATCTTTGAGGTCCCTTCCAACCCAAACCATTCTATGATTCTATGATTCTAAGATGGTCTTTAAGGTCCTTTTCACCCCAAACCATTCTGTGATTCTATACACCCACCCTGTGACCTTCCAGAAAGCCAGGGGCCAGCATCCCCAGCTCTGGGCACAGCAGGCCAGCAGAGATGAGTTTGGCTCGTCCCCACTGCAGACCAGACAGGCCAGGGCACAGATCCACGGGACGCTCAGCCTTTCAGCTTCACTGCCATCCTTTGTGCAGTGTCTGTTCAGACTAAGCTGGTCCCTTCCAGCTCCAGCCAAACCGGGACCCTGGATTCTGCCTGAAAAACCAAAACTCGGTGACGCCTTGAGCTGCATGAATGAGCTCAGAGCAGAAAAGAAGGATGTTCCAAGGGGGAAATTAAAGCACCGATCCTGAACTCGCCCTTGACCTGAGCAGAGAAGCAGAATCACCCCCCAAAAGCCTTTGCATGGGGGTACCCAGAAAAGCAGGGGTGCTCTGACCAGCTCTGGATGGGGAACCCCTCACCCAACACATCCTTGATTTGCCTAGAGGTGAGGCGATGGTGTTTGAGTGCTACTGGGAACTCACCTGAGACTGGAGTCATACTGGTTGCCACCGTCCCCGGCTCCTTACATGGCTCTGGGAGATGAACCTCAGGCTGGATCCCTCCATCAGCCACGGCTGCTTCCAGGCTCCATCCAGCCCCATTTGCTCTGGTTTGGGGAGAGATTTGACTGATGAAACCGAGACACGCACACAAGTTCCTCTGCAATCCCAGACAAATCAGTGATAACACTGCTCTTGGGACTGAGAAATGGTTTGGGGAGGGTTGAACCGGTTTGAGAAAGTCTGAGCTGCCCTAGGGAGGGTCTCTTTAAGGCTGATTCACCTTCTCTGTCCATTCCCACTCATTAGGTGAGAAAATGATGCCCAGCAGATGCGGGCAGGAGAAGGGGGAAGCGCTGCAGAGGCAGGAGAGTGTTCACACCAGTGCTGCCTTCATCTCACCCTTGCAGGAGAGCAATGGCTTGAAGTCCAGATAGAGAGCAGTGACAAGTGGTGTCCCTCAAGGGTCCGTGCTGGGACAGATACTGTTTAACATTTTTATCAATTATATAGACAGAGGGATTAAAGGCACAATCAGCAAGTCTGCAAACGACACCAAGCTGTGTGGTGTTGTCGATACACCAGAGGGATGGGATGTCATCCAAAAGGACCTGGACAGGCTGGAGAGGTGGGCCCAGGGGAACCTCATGAGGTTCAACAAGAGCAAATGCAAGGTTCTGCACCTGGGCCGGAACAATCCTCACCATCAGGACAGACTGGGGGGTGAGGGATTAGAAAGCAGCCCTGAGGAAAGGGACTTGGGGGTGCTGGTGGACTGGTTTGAGAAGGTCTGAGCTGCCCTAGGGAGGGTCTCTTTAAGGCTGATTCACCTTCTCTGTCCATTCCCACTCATTAGGTGAGAAAATGATGCCCAGCAGATGCGGGCAGGAGAAGGGGGAAGCGCTGCAGAGGCAGGAGAGCATTCACACCAGTGCTGCCTTCATCTCACCCTTGCAGGCCTGTGAGGGTGGTGGAGCACTGGAACAGGTTGCCCAGGGAGGTGGTTGAGGCCCCATCCCTGGAGATACTCAAGGTGAGGCTCGACGAGGCCCTGGGCAACCTGGTCTAGTTGGGGGTGTCCCTGCTGACTGCGGGGAGGTGGGACTAGATGACCCTTGGAGGTCCCTTCCGGCCTGGGCAATTCTATGATGATTCTATGAGATAAGGCTGTCACCAGGAGATGGGACACAAAGGGGATGTGCAAATTTGGGAATTTGACTGTATCAAGGAGTCTCCCAGGCTTGTTGCATCCTGCGCAGGAAGACTTGATGCACTCAAGGTGGGAGGCTGCAAAGAGGATCAGTATCACCTCTGCTGCCCCCACCATGATCTTTGCAGGTGCCTTGGGTTTTAGTCCTCCAAGACTGAATCCTACCATGTGCTGTGCTCCCCCCAAGAAATACTCAGCACCAGGGTGGCTTCTCAGCTGCTCTTTGCTGCCAGACCCATGCTGGCTCTAAGCATCCCTGCCTTCCTCATCTGCAGCCCAGAGGAAACCCTAGAGGTAAAGGAGTTTACCCATGGATTTTAGTCCTCCAATTCCGAATCCTGCCATGTGCTGTGCTCCCTCCAAGAGATGCTCAGCACCAGGGTGGCTTCTCAGCTGCTCTTCAGCTGGTTCTGAGCATCCCTGCCTTCCTCATCTGCAGCCCAGAGGAAACCCTAGAGGTAAAGGAGTTTACCCGCAGAGGGAGGTGAGGCTCATAAAGACATACAAAATGTCCTACTAGGCCAGGGTGGTCCATCTAGCTCTGCTCCACCAGCAACCACGGGCAAGCAACTGGTTCCAGTTTGCCTGTGGTCCATTGCCCTTGTGCCAGCCCAGCACCCAGACCTGCTGGATTAGGGATGTTCAACTTACATCCCCGTGAGCATCTACTTCTGGAAAGAATTAGTCTAATTTGTCTAATCTTTCTAGACGAGAAGGGGAGTTCCTGCTTCAGCAGGGGAGTTGGACTAGATGATCTCTATGGTCCCTTCCAACTCTAAAAAATTCACTGAAATTCAGTGAAATTCAGTGAAAAGGACTGCCTGGGGTCTGCTTTTAAATGATCTCCTGGTTGCTCCTACCCAGCTTTGTGCTCTTCACCGTGGGATCTGCTGAACAGCTTTAAGCCCCTGAGAGCTGCAAGAAGAGACTAAAACAAACTGCCTTCATGGGCAGCCTTGCTACAGACCATGCTTGATCCTGGAAAGCAGAAATCCTGCACCAGCACTGCTTCATGGCAGCTTAGAAGATGCCAGATTCCACCAGGAAATACAGGAAAAACAAGGGTCAGTCTCCTGGGTCACCGTGGACTCCAGGAAAGGGTAAACGTGCAAAGCTGAGGGAGTTTATATTTAAAAAATTCTGTCCAAAGAGCCTGTTAGACTTCAATTTTTGCTTTCGTTTGCTTTTGGAGAAATAAAGGGCTCCTTTAATATATAATCAAGTGAATTAGTACCACTGCTTTAAATAAGACAAGCCAAACGACCAGGAAAGCATCAGTCCAGATGTTTTACAGCTGGGGCACGGGCTGTTTACCGCAGGGCTGGGTGTAGGGTTCCCAGTACCAGCAGGATTTCATTGTCCTCCACCCCAGCAGCTCCCCCACACCAAGGCCAGGCTGTAAATCTCAGGTTCTTCTGTCAGGGTGTGTAGGATCAGACCCATATCACAGAGGGTTTGGTGGGGTTTTTAAAATTAAAGCGTGTTACAGCTCGCGAAGATCTGCAGCCCCCTAAAATTTGAAGGTTCACCGGGGGGGAGCGTAACCCGCACTTGGAAATAACTGGCCACAAAAGAAATGTGGAGTTTTGTCCTGGGCTAGCCGGAGGGGAGGAGTTGAGCTGGAGAAGTGGATGTGTCTTTTGGCAGCTGGGCCCTCTCATTAAAGGAGCAGCGGAGGAGACGGAAGAAGGCAACTCCCAGTATCGCTCCCCCTTCCCGCTCCTCTTCCCCATCCCACTGCTGTGGGATCTCCGACGACGTGGCACTTGTGGGGGCTGGGAGCTCCAGCCAATCCCATCGTGCTCAGAAATCACTCGGTGGCCACAAAAATCTACCCCCCCCCCCCAACGCAGATCAGCCCTGATTCCTAGCGATTTCAGCCTAGAAAACGTGTTCCCGGTCAAGATGAAGCCGTTCGCTGACATATGAGTAGAATTTAACTCATTTTCTGCACATTCACACCCAGAAGTCCAGATTTATAGAGTAACACACTCAGGATTGTATTGTCTGGGGGGGGGGGGATGAATTAGCAGTGTGGGACAGCGATAGCAGGGATAGGGGGGAATAAACATTTAAAAAATCAGGCAAAAATTAAAATATCTATATGCTGGGCTGCCCGTCCTCAAACACAAAGAACTATTTATTTAACTCCAAATTCCCGTTATTGAGGCAAAGCTCTTTAAAAGGACTGAAGCACAGAGCCCTGAGCTTTGTCAAAGGAGTTTAAGTGCCGGGATGCATCGCAAGAGAGCAAGATTAAAAGTTTGAGAGTTTATTTTAAACTTGACTAGGAAGAAAAAAGAAAAAAAAAATCTTACATGGGAAGTAATTACACAGAAGGGTTTGAAGGTGGAGCAATGCAGAGCTTGGCAGAGAAAACCAGCTGACAGTGGAAGTTTAAAGGAGCTTTTCTCATTTCTCAGCTGGTTCATGCTGCTGGTAGAGACCAGGAACGTTTCACCTGGGTATTGATTGTTTGCTCTCTGCAAATTCAATTTTTTTTTTTTGCTATGGCAACGTGGAAATAAAGCAAAGATTGTGCTATGAAACCCTGGGGCCACATTCTGATCATTTATGCAGATGCAAAGCCAAGAAAATTCCTCCAACTAGGAGTACAGAAAAGTATGGGGCTCGAGGTGCTTCAATCCTCTCTCTCTCCCACTGACTCCCTCCCAGAAGAAAGCTGATCTCTGAATGTCACCTCTGTGAAGCCATCAGGACTGTTTAGGCACGTTATCATTAAAACCTGCAGCAAAAGGTACCTGTTGGAATGTGAAACACCCAGGGAAGACGTCAGCTGGAAACATGTTTTGTTCAGGTATTTCCTTCTGCACACACGCCACTGAAAAATAAAAAATAAAATAAAATTGAATTAGATCACAGAAAGAAATGCACCTTCAGGCATCTGAAATGACTTCGTGCTTGGCACCCAAAAGCTCAGCCAGTGAGTGAGACCCCCTGGGGCTTTTTCCCTGTAACAGCTTTAGTGAAATGACACCGCATGGATCAATTCAGCCATAATCATAAATCATAGAATCAAAGAATGGTTTGGGTTGGAAGAGACATTAAAGAACATCCAGTTCCAACCCCCTGCCATGGGCAGGGACACCTCCCACCAGACCAGGTCGCTCCAAGCCCCCTCCAACCTGGCCTTGAACCCCTCCAGGGATGGGGCAGCCACAGCTTCTCTGGGCAACCTGGGCCAGGCTCTCACCACCCTCACACCAAAGAATTTCATCTTGATTTCCCACCTAAATCTCCTCACTTCCAGTTTAAAACCATTACTCCTTGTGCTATGGCTCTACTCCCTCATCAAGAGTCCCTCCCCAGCTTTCCTGGAGCCCCTTTAGGGACTGGAAGGCTGCTCTAAGGTCTCCCCGGAGCCTTTTCTTCTCCAGGCTGAACCCCCCCAACTCTCTCAGCCTGTCCTCCCAGCAGAGGGGCTCCAGCCCTCCCAGCATCTCCATGGTGGCCTCCTCTGGCCCCGCTCCAACACGTCCATTCCTTTCTTGTGCTGGAAGGTGATTGGGAACAGATAATAATAAAGGTGATTGGGAAAGGATGAATGGGACAATCTTTGGCCCAGCCAGAAGCAAACACCCAGTGACCAGAACAAACCTCCTGGTAGCTGCCACGGCGGTTATCAAGGTCGTGTTGCTGCAAACAATGTGGTTCTATAAACCACGCTGCGAGAGGAACCATGGTAGAAACACGTATTTTGTTTTGCTCTTAGAGCTCTAGGGAGCTGGTTTATTGCAGCTGGTGGAAGGCTTGTACAGGGAGGGTTGAAAGACCTCTCCTCATTTGAATCAGGGGATCAGAGAATCATTTAGGCTGGAAGAGACCCTTAAGATCATTGAGTCCAACCATAAACCCAACACTGACAAACCCACCACTAACCCATGTCCCTCAGCACCGCATCTGCCCGGCTTTTAAATCCCTCCAGGGATGGTGACTCCACCACTGTCCTGAGCAGCCTCTTCCAAGGCTTGACAACTCTTTCAGTGAAGAATTTTTTCCTAATATCCATCCTAAACCTTCCCTGGTGCAACTCGAGGCCGTTGTCCTATTGCTTACTTGGGAGAAGAGCCCAACACAGGTGTGGAGTGTCTACTCGCATGGCACCACCTGAATAAAAACATCACTTTTTGATGCCATCTTCTAGAATTAGGAGACTGATGCTGTGGGGGGACACAGACAGTGGAAAGATGAGATGATCCCAGGGCAAGGCGTTTGCCAGATGCTGACCCAGGTCAGAATATTCAAAGCCAGAAGACTAAACAAGATGCTGTCTTCTACCAGAGTTATGAGAGGTAGCAAGCTGCCAAGCCCCCTGTCTTCTGAGAAGAAGCAGAGAAACTTGCAGAGGCAAAACCAGCATCAGAAAAGGGGGTAAAAACGAAATTACATGGTGATTAGAAACAAGAGAAGACGCAGACATCAGTGAACACAGCGATGCAGCATCCTTCTGCTCATGGGCTCAACCGTCAGTGAGGACGGCGCTGAATTCACAGAATCACAGAATCTTCTAGGTTGGAAGGGACCTTAAAGATCATCTTGTCCAACCGTCAACCTAACTGACAAAAATAGACACCCACACAACAAACAAGGAGCATCATCACTAAACCAGACCTCCCAGCACTACATCAACCCGTCTTTTGAACACCTCCAGGGATGGTGCCTCAACCACCTCCCTGGGCAGCCCATTCCAATGGCTGAGAACCCTTTCAGTGAAAAAATTTCTCCTAATATCCAGCCTGAACCTCCCCTGGCACAACTTGAGGCCATTTCCTCTTGTCCTGTCGCCTGTGACTTGAGAGAAGAGACCGACCCCCATCTCTCTACCCCCTCCTTTCAGGGAGTTATAGAGAGCAATAAGGTCTCCCCTCAGCCTCCTCTTCTCCAGGCTGAATAACCCCAGTTCCCTCAGCCTCTCCTCATAAGACTTGTGCTCCAGACCCCTCACCATCTTTGTCGCCCTTCTCTGGACCCGCTCCAGCCCCTCGACGTCTCTTTTATGGTAGAGAGCCGAAGACTGGACACAGTACTCAAGGTGAGGCCTCACCAGTGCCAAGTACAGGGGGACAATCACCTCTCGGGCCCTACTCCCCACGCTGTTCCTGATGCAGGCCAGGATGCTGTTGGCCTTCTTGGCCAGACTGGGCATCTGGGCACACTGCTGGCTCATGTTCAGCCCACAGTCGACCAACACCCCCAGGTCCTTTTCTGCCCGGCAGCTCTCCAGCCTCGGTGGTACCTGGAATATCACTATATTGTAATTGCCGTTGAAAAATATCCCATGCCCTCTTAAAATGTGACGGGGTGGAAAGCGAGTGGCGTTCGATACGCGTGACTCAGCGCAGAAACCTCTCCATGGCACATATTTTGCTGCGAGGGCTCTCAGCCAGGCCGTCTGGCACCGGGCAGGACGAGCATTTAACTCCTTCAACGGTACTTTGGGGCCTTTCTAAACCACCTAAATTTACCAGGCGTGAGGATTTTTGCCACTGCGTTATGCTACAGTGAAGAACAGCCCCCAAGAAACCTGCTGGGGGATATTTGGATGCGACGGGGGTGAGGGGTTCACCACTCCATCAGCTCCAGCTGCTGGGGAAAAAGGAGAGGTGAGTGTCAGTGCAGGTGGGGAGATAGATGGAAAACCAGTGTCTGTGGGGTGAGAAGCTCAACGTGAGCTGGCAACGTGAGCTCGAAGCCCAGAAACCCCCCCACATCCATCCTGGGCTGCATCCCCAGCAGCGTGGCCAGCAGGGAAATGGGGGGGGATTCTGCCCCTCTGCTCCGCTCTGGGGAGACACCCCCCACCCAGTGCTGCCTCCAGCTCTGGGGCCACCAACATAGGAAGGACATGGACCTGTTGGAGAAGGCCACAGAGATTGTAGGAGGGCTGGAGCCCCTCTACTGGGAGGACAGGCTGAGAGAGTTGGGGGAGTTCAGCCTGGAGAAGAGAAGAGTCCAGGGAGACCCTTCCAGTCCCTCAAGGGGCTCCAGGAGAGATTGGGAGGGACTCTTGATGAGGGAGAGGAACCATAGGAGGAGGGGGAAGGGTTTTAAACTGAATGAGGGGAGATTGAGATGAAATCTCAGGCAGAAATTCTTTAGTATGAGGGTGGTGAGAGCCTGGCCCAAGTTGCCCAGAGAAGCTGTGGCTGCCCCATCCCTGGAGGGGTTCAAGGCCAGGCTGGATGGGGCTTGGAGCAACCTGGTCTGTTGGGAGGTGTCCCTGCCCAGGGCAGGGGGTTGGAACTGGTCCCTTCCAACCTTGATTCTATGACACAGCAATATGAGGAACCTCTCCACCTGCCTGTAATTTGGCCATCAAGCGAATGCAGGTCCTCTTGGGTACCACCAAACAGGGGGGACGTTTCAGATGGCAAGACACAGCTCGAACCAGGTGCAGATGTCAACCATTCACTGTCCGCGACTGCTCCGGCCGTGGCTGAAGCCCTTTTCAAGAGCCCTGACTTCATGGAGGATGGAAAAAAAAAAAAAAATATATATATATATAAATATAAATAAATCACCCCCTTGAGGCAGCAACAACCATCCAGCCTCAAGAGATTCCAAGAGGGGGGAGGTGGAATAACATGGGTCAGAGCCCCGTAAAAATGCAAAAGCCACGTTTTGGCTTGGGTAGAGCCTTCCACCATAGCCCTGCTGGGAGGAGAGGGACGAGGAAGGACCAGGAATCCCACCCCTTCCCAGCCCCCTGGACCCCCCCTCCTTTGCAGAAGCAACGGGGCCGGGCTCTCCCTGCCATTGGTGGCGGGGCCCGGAGAGTTTTATCGGATCCTCCCCTTCCTCTCCCTCCCCAGGCGGGTGGTGGTGGTTTTTTTTTTTTTTTTTCCTTGAGGAAAGGGGGATCCTCCCTCAGAAAAGGGAGGTAGAAATGAGAAGAGGCATTTATCCAGCCTCAAGAGATTCCAAGGGGGGGGGTGGAATAACATGGGTCAGAGCCCCGTAAAATTGCAAAAGCCACGTTTTGGCTTGGGTAGAGCCTTCCATAGTCCTGCTGGGAGGAGAGGGACGAGGAAGGACCAGGAATCCCACCCCTTCCCAGCCCCCTGGACCCCCCCTCCTTTGCAGAAGCAACGGGGCCGGGCTCTCCCTGCCATTGGTGGCGGGGCCCGGAGAGTTTTATCGGATCCTCCCCTTCCTCTCCCTCCCCAGGCGGGTGGTGGTGGTTTTTTTTTTTTTTTTTCCTTGAGGAAAGGGGGATCCTCCCTCAGAAAAGGGAGGTAGAAATGAGAAGAGGCATTTGTCCTGGGGT